TACTTTATGTAAAATCTCAATTGAATATTCAATAAAGATAGAGGCATGGCCTCACCATTAATATTTAAAAAAAAAATCTTATTTTAAGTATATTTATTAGGTTGTTACTTATTTCAAAGTATATTACTAAACTGTAAGACTCTGGATGCTCTCTGTTAATTAACTTATTCACTTTACAGTTTTTATTAATAAAGTTAACTCTTATAAAATTTATTCAAATTCTAATATAAACTTTATAGTATATCTTTAGTATTTATAATATACTTCTACTTTGTTACTAAATTTCTAATCCAAATAACTTATTAGAACTGCAACTTATTTCTATTATACTAAACCTAACCTAATATTTTTTTTTAGTTTGATTTTAGCAGTCTGGTTAGTAATATTTTTTATCTATAGGTTTTTAACTATTTAGTTTCTTTATATTGATATTTGTTTTTTAGATTTAATCTTTATAGTAGTACTGTTATAAAACTGATATTTTTTTATTTGAGTTTTTCAACTAGATTTTTGTTTTTCTAATTCTACAAATTTATATAGTTACAAAAACTTATCTTAGGTTTGTATTATCCAATACAGGTTTGCATTTTTCTATATAATTAAGATTACATAGATGTCTCATAACCTGCAATTTATGCTAATGCAACCATAGTTACAGGTATCTTATTTCAATTAATTAATTCTATAGCATAGGCAATTGTTCAAATTTTCACTATTGATGGGTTTTAAACTTACAACCTGCCACTTGGGTTAACAACTTATTCATTTTACTAAGTTGTTACACTCTATTATATTTTTTTTAATTTTATTTTTTTTAAATAATGTTATTTATTTTTTTTTAAAAAAATAAAAAATTTTTTTATATATTCTAATCTTGTAGTGCTGGTTACAATATTAATATTTATATTTCATTTTATTATAATATTAATAAAAAAAACTATAATTATAATTAAAATAGTATTAATATTTTTTAACAAATTTATATTGATGCAAGGTGCATTTGGTATACTTAATGACAAATAAATACAAATAATAATTAAAAGTTAGAGTTAAGATTAGAATCAGAGTTAAAGATAAAATTTTACAAAAAACATTTTTATTAGTTATACAACATGAATTACTTTAGTAAAATTTCAAAATAGTAAAAAAGTATACCAGAATGTGGTATGTATTAAAAATAAAAAAAAATGGGTTATTTTTTTGTTTAATAAATCAAATAGTTATCATAAAATTATTGTAAAAAAAAGAATACTTGTATTATAATTTGTAAATACGAAAATAATATTAACTTTATTTAAAACAGCGAGCTTATATTTTAATATTTTTTTCTTATCGTTTTTTATAATTTATTTATTATACTATTAATTGTCTTAATATAGTAAAATATTTAATAAAATTAATAATTTTTTATTTTATTTTTCTATTTCATGTTCTGCCTTTATAGTATACTCAACTTACATGAGCATAACATATAATATCTATTTAATAAGGGCTTATCTGACAGAATAAGACCTCTATATTTATCCTGCATATGGATACCGTAATTAAATATAATTACGGCAACTTTAATCCTGCGTCATGAATTAAATATAATATCCTTAAGTAGCTTTAATTTACTCTGTCAGGTAAGGTTTTGAAAAAAAAATTTAAAAACTTATTAAGGCTTCCATTATTAACACCATTAAGTATTAATTTGTTTTCCGTATTTTGAGTCAATCCAAAAATTTTAAGGGTACGATTTTGCAATCTACATTTCATATAATTGTCAAATTTATTAAATTAATTTATTAAATTAATTATATAGTTTAATATAATGCACTATGGATAATAATTTGACTTACCTCTTTCGGAAAATCGAGAGGTATATACTAAATATAAAGCAATATTTCATATACTATAGTAAATACGTGTACTTATTTTAAGACTCAAAAATGTGCAAGACGAAAATTAAGTTTTCAAATTAAATCTTGCATGCATTAGTTATGTAATGTAAGTACGTTACAATAGGGCGAAATGGGCAAATATAATATTACAAACGTTATACAGTACTGAAGCTAACTATACTACTCTAACCCAAATAATGGTAGGTTTCGATTGAGGTGTGAATTTATTTGGACGAGTAACTAAGGTCAATTAGAGCTCTAGATTTCGTCACGAGTCTCAATATGGAATCACAGTTTAGACGTTCATTCCTGTTGCTATAAAATTTTTATTTAATGGATTAGTGAAGTGAAGGACCTATTCAGGATTTCGAACTCAAAGAGAGGTATGTTCTTTATTGAAGGTAAGATAACGTTCATTAATTTTATAAATTTACTTTGTGACCGGTTTCGGGTAGATTCAACTTTCACAATGTACATAAGCAATGTCGCTCCTAGTAGCTAACTGTCGTCGGAACATGGTTTTAGGCTTCCAGCCTCATTGCTTATTATAAAGAATCACTAGATGATAGTGATCTAGACTATTCTATCCCGTAATTTATTTAATAAAATTTTATTAAATCGAAGGAATCTTATAGAAGAATTAGAAGGGCATTCGTGCTTAAAAATATCATTGATAAACTTAATTCCTTTTAATATCTTTTATTATATATAATTAGAGTATTTACTTAATCATGTATAAGGGTTTAACAACTAAAATGTACATGTGAATAAAGACGCAAATCACTATGTCCATATTTTAAAGTGTTTAAATAATTATTATTGCGGCTGAAGTTGGCGATTAAGCTTTCTTGAATATGAAATTGAGTTTTTTTTTTTACATTAGGATTGAGTTTATAATAGAGCATTAGTGGGTCTAGTAGGTCCTCAATTTCCAGCTTCAAAGCGCGACAATTATTGTTCCCATTTAATCTTAATTTTCCCTAAAATGTTTCTTTTCATTGTATATTCTACGTATTCTCACACTTAAACTGTCATCTTTTCCGTGACTAAAACCCCATTACATCCTTGAGTTAAATTATCTGATTCATAGGGAGGTGTTTCAGGTGCGACTGCGTTCATAAGTTTATCAAGAAATAATGGTACCCCGTGACGAAAACCCACATCGATATGAGAGAAACCTGTAATGGTAAGTACCAGTATTCTGAGTTTAAGTTCGTTATTCCCGTGCATCACTCATATTGTTAATATTATTAACTCTGACACTTATTTGCGTCAACTATATAATGCGCTGTATAATAATTGTTTCATCTAATATTTTCATAAATTAAATTGTCAATTAAACAGTAAAGAGTAGTCAAATGAGTAGCACTCAATTGAGTCGATCTTTATTAGATTTATACTATTTATCTATCATTTTTTATTTTATTTTATAGAGTTCATACCAAAAAAAAATGGTTAATTTTATATTGGAGGTGTTTGTTTAGTAAGCGGGAGAATTGATTAAAAATTTCATTAATCAGATCATAATCGTGCACTAAGTAGAAAATTATACAGATGCAAATAAGCCTTTTAATATTATTGTTGTAGACAGAATTTATGGCTCAATTAATGTTTATACGCTTTGTGTCATTATAACAAAAAATAACGAATCTTGTAATTAGCAGAAAAAAAAAAAGTTAGCTGTATGCATCAAGCCTATTAATAACATTAACGTTTTCCGTAGTGCATCCAGTCAGAAAAGGCGTTGCAATCATATATGTTGCTTATGGCTCTTTTTTTTTTCTAATAAAGAAAACATGATTCATAGACATAATTCGATTATTCGATCTTAGATTATCAAATTTTGGTAAGAATATGGTAGTATGCCAAACATAATAAAGAAATGATCTTAAAGTTGCAAGATATGTTTCGCAAAATTCTTGAATCATGAAAAGAAACGAGCCCTCTTAAAAATATAAAAAGCAAAACACTTCACTAGCTACTAATAAATTTTATTTAATTCCAATTAATAATCAAATTTCTTATAGCACAAAGCATTCATGCAAGTACAAATTGATAAAAATGTTTTGTGATAATAATAAAACAGCATAACTTTCCATGTACACCCTATTCTATATTTGAGAAAATTTCGCTATTTAAGCTTTAATATGTCCATTTAAATCCAAGCAACAACGAAGGCCGCAATGCAAATCATAGCCCTAAGACTTCCATCTAAATAAGTAATTGATGCACCGGATGTTGGTGACGGAGCGTTCGTCGGACCTCCTGTGCGAGTTGATGTTGTAGTTGTGAAAGTCGTAGTTGGTTGAGTCGTGGTGGTGGGACCTGATGCCACTGTTGTTGAAGTTGAAGTATGAGTTGGAGTCAGTGTTGTTATGGTAGGGCTCGTATCTGTGGTGGTTCCTGTTCCTATTAAGTGGTTTTGCCAATATAATAAAATTACTAAATCTTTTTTGTAATGTTTAGCTTTTGTTTTTTTGTTTTTGTTTTACCTCGAGTCGGTTCGACTGTGACTACAACAGTTGTAGTAACAGTTTCAATCGATTTACCTTGTCCTTTGACCCAACCTCCATTTTCAGTAGCTATCATGAGGACGAGTGCGATCATTAAGAAAATACTAAATAGTCGCTTCATGTTTGATGTTTGTTGTGCAAACGCTGTCGATCGATATAAACTTTGATGAAATCAAAAAAAAAGTTGTATGAAACGATGAAACAAGCAAGGTGTTTTTATTTGTTGGTTTAAATCGACTCTACTTATATGTCTTTTTATATCGGAATATTCTGATGAATAGAATTACATATTAAAAAAAATATATTCTATTACCTGATGAATGGGGTGATGGAATATGTAATGATGATGTCTTCCTGTCATAGTACAAAGTTAGTAAACTGCATCATATAATTATGATGAAATCCGACGTTGGTTTAAAAGACGCTAATAAATTAAAAAATGATATTACATTATTAGAATAAGCATGTCATATGATCATTATCATTAAAAGGTTGGCGCAATTTGTAAAAATAGATCTTATTGACGAAATTATGTTCTATCATCTATTCTATAAATAAAAGAAAAACAATTGATATAAAGAATAATAGTTTGTCATTAAGAATTGTCGACAAATCAAATATAACTTATATAGATATTCATTATGACAGTGTAATGACAGCTGAATTGTCGTTTACAACTTGATTTATTCAAGTTTAAATGACGTAGATTACTGTTATAATATCGATATACAGTAAATATTGATTAAACCTTTTTTTAGTTATATAGTGTATAAAAATCTTTCATAATAAAATATTTCATCTATAATTTTTTCCTTATAAGATTTCTATTTCTACTTGATCTGCTTTTTTTTTTTGCTATCTTTTCTATCGTATTTCCTGTGCTGTCCTCCTAAACCACGGGTTTAATTTATGACTGACTAGTTTTTTTAAAAAAATTGCACTAACATTAACTCTAATTCTAACTGACCCTAACAAAAATAACCAGAATTACTTTGTCGTTGAAATGAATGTCAGTGAAATAAACTTGTCGGCAAATTGACTGTCGGTGAATTATGCTGTTGGTGAAGAGATTGTCGGCGAAATGAGCATCACCCATGATCAACCAACTTGTAATATGATGAAAGAGTTGAATAAAGCAGTGATGGCTTTTGGAAAGTTTTAATAGAGTTTCGACCATATGAAAAGTTGTTCAAAACATGTCCACAATTATCCAATTACCAACACTGGTATAAAGAGATTGCGTTGAATTTTGGGTTTAATTGACATGCTAGAATTCGGTTGATTTAACTTTATACGAATCATCTCTTACAACTCTAATCTTATATAGATCAATCGTGAATTTTGACGAAATTGATATCTAACTATTTCTAGTAATAATATAAAACGTTAGCAAACAATCAACCTTAAATTGATTTCAGCTTGGATTAACAATTTCACCAATGGTGTTCAACACCACATATGTTTTTTTAATAAATTTTCTAGTAAAATTTAGGGTTAGAGGCCTAAACTATTGTAAAGTTATAAATTTAAATTTTAGTTAGGGTAAGGTTTTTGAACATGTTTACTTATTATATCTGGCATTGGTTATTTAGCTAGTTTTTGAGAAATTGTGTTGAAGACCACTGGTGCAATTTAGTAAATCAAATTTTCATAATAAAATATACCGGAATCAATCGCAATTATGCAAGTCATGTGCTATAATTAGAGTTTGAGTTAAAGGTAAGATAGATACCGTAAATAGTCGGATAGAGATCCTCTTTGGTTATAAATCCAATATTCCAATCTGCTCTAAAAAATACATGGTTTTTTTTGGTAATATCCGATATTTTACAAGGCATACATTATTAACCAACATCAGCACGATCAACTTCAGAAATTCAATCTGAAACAAATCTTTTTTATGAAGTTAATAATATCAAATACTTTTTAGATTTCAAAATTATTTTAGCAGGTTGAATAGTAATAATATTGATCTATTTATATATATATTTTATTTTTAATAATATGTATCAATGAACAATATTAAACATTTTTTTTAGTACGTAGTAGTTCTATATACAAAGTAATCTTGAATTAAGAATAAAAAAACAGAAGTAAATCGCGGTTAAAGGGTAGAAATTATCAGAAGTTAATAGTTTCTTATAGGGTTGAAATGCAGTTAGCTTACAATGAAAAGTTTTTTATGCAAAGTAAACTTTCCTTGAGTTTAAAATCGGTTTAGTAGATCTTTCATAACTATTATATATTCTTAGTGGCCCGGATTTTTTTATTGACACACAACCCGTGTACCCGATAAAGCACTAAATGTTAATAAATTTTTTTTAATAACATGAGCGGTGATTTATCGTTTCATAAATTTGAAACCATTTTACATAATCAAAAAAAATAAAATAAAATTAGGGTACATAAGGCCGTTCGAAGTTAATTCTTCGGTTAACGTCACCCTCTCAGCTGAAGTTTCCTCCCGAAAAATGAACAACCAATCAAAACTCTGGATAACTCTCTCACCAATCACTTGATTTACATCGACCAATGAAATTGGCCCACTTTTATATGTTCGTTTCATCCCTTCTCCCAAGAGTCTTAAAGTGACGTTACCCGAAAATTAAACTGCAAGCGGCCTACTGCGCGTTGTAGTTATGCTTAAACTAGGAACGTAGTATGAGCACTAGACTTGTATTAAATTATGAAACCTATTCAAAGTATTGGTATTGTTTATTTTGTCAATTGATTAAACTTATTATATATGTATGAACGAAGACATATGATTAAATATGAAATACGCATTACTTATAAGAGATCGATCCTTTGAGTAGTTATAGGTAACCTAGATAGAGGTAAACAATCTTTGGGTTCTCACATAAGATACCAGATATAAATGTCACTTTTCGCCTGTAACAATAAAATGAAACATCATACAAGTGCATGGATGATGAAATAACCGCATTTTTTTACTAGCGATAAAATTAATACATTTCGTACTCGAATAATTCGAATTTATCATTCTTCGAATCATGAAAATTTAAATTACGAGTCACTCGCGAGTTATAATGATGTATAATTAATAAGTATGTAATTTTAACTTAATTATATGTAATTCATTTGAAACTCTACGTATAATTGACATATTTAAAAAAGTTTCAATAACCATTAAGACATTTTCATCCATACAGTACAAGTATGATGCAAAAACGAAAGTTATAATGAACAGAAGGAATTCTATGCTGAAGAAATTAGTAAAAGTGTTACTACAGCAAAAGCACAAACCTTAATCCAGAATTGACGAATGAAATGTTATTTTTAAAAAGAAATATGAATTTGCTAGATAAATTATTTCCGGTTGACGAATATTTGATATGTTACTTGCTTAACTTGTAATCTATGATAATCGCTTTTACATGTAAATTTGAATTATATATGCTTTGTGTAACTCGTTATTTGAAGTATTTTTGCTTTTGTAACTCACAATTTACAAAATTTTCAATAAGTTAATCGTTATGACTCGAACTAATCGAATAAAATTCGAATAAATAATTTGATCGAATGATTCGAACACTCTCCGGAGTTTAATTCATGAGTTAATACAAGTCCAGTCACTAAAAGCCCCGTTACTACCAATTGAGGGCGAGTCATATCTTATAATTCTGCGAAGAAGTTTGAATCCAAAAAAAAAATTTTTTTTTTTTTTGGGAATATTATTATTTATTTATTTATTTTTTGGGAATATTATTATTTATTTAATTTTTTTTTTTGGGAATATTATTATTTTATTTTTTTGGGGGGAATATTATTATTTATTTTTTTTTTTTTAGGAATATTATTATTTATTTTTTTTTTTTTTAGAGGGAAAAGCTTTTCTAGGAGACGAAATCACTACTATTAGGCCAGAATAAATAGTTAACATAATATGAACAGCGATATTGAAAAATTAATTGCAACACGCAATTACGATCAACTAAGTTTGTTGTAAAATTTCAATTTAATTGCGAATAATTGCAGTTGTCCGGCACCTTACTATGATCGTACCAACAGAATAACTCGAGTTATTTTGATGATAATTGCATCATCAAAAAAACTCGTGTTATTCTGTTGGTTCGATCGTCGTAAGATACTGGATAATACCGTTATTGACTGCTACTCAGCCAATAGCTTGTTTATCTGGCTGTGTATTTAATATGCGTCCCTTCGGGGCCCCGAAGTGTCATTAAATTTCACAGCCAGATAATGAAAATAATTTAATTTCCGTTATTGGCTGCTTCGCATCCAATAACTATATATTATTTGCAATCTTTACTTTTACAGTACTATAAATTTCGCAATAATTTAAAATTTTAAGAAACTGAAAAAAAACTGATTATATACAATAAATGATTCATTAAATTTGTATAACCCGTTTTTTCTTTTTGATTGTTGGCGTAATCCGGAAGAACATAAATTATACTGATATTTGCCATCATGTGAAGGTCTAAAAAGGGTGATCTGGAAGAATATAAATTACACTAATGCCTGCTGTTATTTGAAGGTCTAACAAAAGCATCTTTATTATCGGCTACAATCTGGAAGAACATAAATTACACTAATATCAGCCGTCATTTGAAGGTTTAAAAAGGCATCGATTTAAAATTTGTTCGGAACTTTGGCATTCATTAGAACTGATTTAAAAAACAAGATTTAAATGTTATATTATATACATGTCTTTGTAAAGGAATATAAATTTATATTCTTGTGGTTTGCACAATTAATTCAAAAAGGTAATTATTGATTACTTTTTTTAAACTACAAATTTTGATATCAAATATCAGTAAATATACTCATACATATGTCTATTATCACATATTTATCTAATTAAGTTCAAATAATTGCAATTAATTACTATCACAATCAATTATTCAGTAGGCCTGATTCTAAAGAGAAGCTTGATTACTAAATAATAATCTCGAACAGATTTAAAATGAACTATGACATAAATTAAATTGTTCAACTGATATTAAATTATAGAATATACAAAATCTACACATAGGGATGTTAAACCGGTTAATTTTATTATACAAACTAGGCGAAACGTTCGAAACTTATCGAAGTTCCGAAACTGGC